TAGCTGGCCGTCCTCCTGCCCTCTCCCAGACAAGCGTGGCCTCAGATGAAGCTGTCAGTGGGGAGAGCTGCTGTCAACCTGCATCAGCTCCAGGAACTTTGCTCAGGGCCATTTCCTAGAATGCCTCTCCTCTGGCGAGGAATTGCTCAGTCCTGCAGCCCCCACTTAAAGCCAGTCTGTGTCTCTCCATCTCCAGCAAGATGATGTCCTGAGCTTGGCTCTGTAGGTCACAGTCTGGTCCCTGTGGAGCTCTGCGGCTCCCATGTCTACCCCCAACCCTGCAGGACTACCCGCCTCAAGGTTCCCTACTCCTCCTTAAGGCTTCAGCGCAAGAAGCAACACCTCCCTCGGGGAGGCGTCCCCGATGTCCTCAATCTGAAGTTGATGCTGTGCTCTAACCTTGATCATAATTCCAGCCACAATCCCTGGCTTACAGATCTAGCTACATCACTGCTCTGTGAACACAATGCCTGGCACGCAAGAGGTGCTCAGAAGAAAATGTTAGGGAGGGGGACAAAGAAGAGGAGACAGATGTAGAGAGAAAGCTAGAGTGGCGGAGAAGACAGAAAAGAAAAGAGCATGAGTGAATATCTACCCGGGACTGACGCAGCCAAAGCTCAACGATCTGGCATTCTTTCAATCAGATCAATTTCATCCAGCACGCCTAGGACGCCCGCATTTCTGTGGTATATTGAAGTGCTTTCCGGATTATTAACTGTCCATTGTGGCCCAATTACTTAGTGTCAAGGTACTTTATAGTACTTAAGTCTTTGAAAATGTGTCATTCTTTAATGCTATGAACAGTGATAGCACATTTGGGCTTATTTCATGAATAAAGTACTTTTGTCCCACCCTCTGCCCCTCTTAAGTGAAAACTCAGTTGACTTTGAGGTATTTGCCACATGATAAATGAAAAGATCGTTTCACCTTACATGAAAAGGCAAGTTATAAATTAGCAAGCTGTGAGCATGTTCTGCATCAAAGAAGAATGAAAGACCCATGTCACAACCCAACGTGTAGTTGTCACCCAAGAAATGCTTGTTGATAATGGGGTTGTCCAAGGTGATTCTTCTTACAGTGCAGGATCTGACTTTGCAGTGGGTCCTGTGCAGGCAAGACCATGTCGTAAATGTATCTTCAAAAACCCAATTCATCCACAGACCTGTGTGCCATGTGCTGGTCGAACAGCATGTGCTGGTCACATTTAGGGTCTAAACCTG